TCTGTACCGCCCTGCCCCCGACGCACCCTGCCCGCTGGCGCCCCCTCCCCGCGTACACCCTGCCCCATGGAGCAACCCCTGCCCCATGCAGCACCCACCCCATGCAGCACCCTGCCCGTTGCAGCACCCTGCCCTCTCCCCTCCCCACCCCAGCTCCAGACCCCACAAGGGGTTCCTACACCAAAAACCCCACCACAAAGCATCACAGGTCTGGGGAGACAACTTCCCTAGAGCTGCCTTTGGCACACGGGGCCTCTACTTTGAATTTTGCTCTCAACTTTGCCCCAGAGCCTGTGAAAAGGAAAGAATTTGAGTCGCCTCCAACTATTTCTGACGGCTCAGCCTCTGCCAGAGCGCTGGCGATGGGCGCAGGGAGGAACGATGCTGGCTATGCATCCCCAGTGCAGGAGCCAGCACGATGCTGGGGGCACGAACCCAGACAAAACAGACCCTCGTGCCAGCCCCAGCACGGCGCGGCGGGAGCGAAAACCCCCAGCAGCGCCCGCCCCGGAGCCACGCTCACAGCCAAGCCAGCGCGAAGGAGCAGCTTGCTCCAGGGTGCTGCAAATCCCTGTGGGATGAGAAGCTGCAGAGGAAAATGCTGTCCGAGGACAGCGGCTGGGGGCAGATGCTCACCCCTGAGGAGCTGCTGGCACTGCCAGCACCGCGACAGGAGCCAACACGGCGGGCCAGCACCTTGCTGTGCCGCGGCTGAAAATCCCTTTAAATTTAAGCAACCTTTTTCGTGGCAAAGAACGAGACGCCTGCTCGTCCCAGCAGAGAAATTCCTCACCCCCGATTTTGGCATTTTCTCCTGGAAAAGAAAGAGCTCGCAGTCACGCCGCGCTTGCATCCGCACTGCACCTCTGTTGCAACTCCCGTCTACAAAACTATGATTTTGGCCGGGGCTCTGGGCAGCGATGCTGACAGCTGAGATTTAAAAGGACATTTTGAGGTTTCATTTCCTTTCAGTTCATGGGAAAAAAAGAGCCCCCGGTCCCCGGGCAGGCGAGACGGCTTAGTCACTCATTCTTCCCTGATTAACGACGGGGCCAATTAGGAGGTTTTAAGTAAATGGAAAAGCAAAAGTCGAGTACTTGCAGACATTGAAACAAAAGATTTGCAGTCAAATATCCAAGGTGACTAAATCTCCCCCAGCTCAGCAAGCCCCTCCGGGGTGCAGAGGGGATGCTGGGGGGCCACTGACGCTCCCTGCCAAGTGCCCCTGGCTGCCCTGCCAGCCACCACGCTCAGCCCCAGGGAAGCGAGAGGGGCAGGGACCTGCGGGGGGTCAGGAGGAGGTGGCCAGCGGCGTGGCGAGGAAGTGACACAAGGTGACACCGGATTTGGCAAGATGTGGACTGCTAACGGTGGTACAGCCGGGCTTTGCTTGAGAGCAGAGGATGGGAAGCCCACGCTGATGATGCCAGGGGGTGCCCCGACCCCCTCACACCCGTAGCAACCTGCGTGGGGCTCATGTGTCCCACATGGGAACCGGCTAAGCCACCCACTGGCTCCTTCACCAGGCTGAACAAAACCTCCCGGCAGTGCTGGGGGCTATGGACAGCATCCCCCTCCCTGGCTGCACAACCAAGGCCACCCATGAGCAGCCGTCCCTCTACGAGCCGCTTCGGCTGCACGTCCAGCCAAGAGCTGGAAGGGTTTGGGGACAGGTGGCAGTCCAGGGAGCTGTGTCCCCTGCCTCCT